CTAAAACTGGATTTCTTACCTTGCCTAGTGGAAAGCTGCAACAAAACTACCATCATGTTGCCACACATGGAGGTACCTCTGCCTTCTACGTCTCTTTACTGTTTTGACTTGGAAGAGTTGAAATTCTTAGCAGTGAAAAACAAAAACTGCATCCCCACATTAAAAAAATAATTTTTATAGGATAGATTAACTTGTAATTGAAGATTCAAGCTATTGTACGACTGTGGCAATAGTTTGTTTGAAAAGACTGTCTTTTTTGAATGTGTGCATATGTTATGTTGCCATTTAGGTGGCGCCGCTTTCTGCATAAAATTTACTTTGCATAATTACAGGCAGTTTTGCAAAATATATATTTGTAATCTTTGGTGCTTGCTTGCCACATACTTTTTTTCATTTGGTTGAGAATGTTTGTAGTAGATGTCTATTGTCTGTTATATGGGGCTAAGAATTGACTTTTGAAATACCATGAAGAAAAGCATGGAAGTCTTTGCAAACTCATGAATTATTTCCTTCTTCTGTTTCTAGGCCCTCCACAATTTGCTATCACATGTTTACCAGGGAAAACCATCCCCGCAGAAAAGCAGCTGCTGGAGCTGTGTGTACATGACTCAGATGCAAAGTCCAGCAATTTTCTTTAAAGTGCTGACAAAGGCTGGTTTGGGCCAAGAAAGATGACTTTTTGCTGAGACACATGCAGGTGCTCCACCCTTGCAAGCCAGCTGTGGCAGGGACAGGACAGACAAAACAGCTGGAGGGGTTCTGCCTCTTAACAACCTCAGCACAATTTGCAAGGCTGTCCCCCTCCTTGTCCCTGGGCTGCAAGAGTGGCTAAACTGCTTTGTTCAAGGAATAAACACAAGTTATGAATAACAGGGTACCTGTGTGACAGGTGAAGTAAACTGGGGACTTCACCCATTTGTAAGTAGAGTGATTCAGTGGGAAAATTCTAGTTCATTGAGTTCAGATCATCCAGTTCACAATACCTCCAGGTTTGGATTCTGTTGAATCCAAGGCAGAAGTGAAACTTTTCCATGGTTACTGTGGACAGCTGAGAGAAAAACCAGCCCTCATGTTCAGCATTTCTGAGTCAGAGCCACCAGCTGTATCCTGGATGATGGAAACCCTCTGCAAATGGCTCGTGGCACAAAACATTGGATATACCAGCTTTGTGGGCTTCAAGGGGAGCCAGGGTAAGTTTGATGGCTCATATGGAAGGGAGGTAAGCACAAAGACTGTCAAATGTGGGATATGTGGGTTATTAACAGGGCAAGAAACATAACAGAGAAAGAAAATTATGATCTAACATACTGCAAGTCATTCTTAGGATTCAGTAAGACTTTCATGTTCAGATTCATATTTCACCAGCATTTCTCTACCTCCCATTTCTTTAGATGCCAAAAATGTCTATTATTTCCTCTATGTTTTGTTCTCCATTTTCCCATTCCCTGTGCATTGTTTCTTCTTGCTGAGTATTTGCAAAACTCAACTAGATCTTTTTTCCTAAGTACCAGGTTGTAAAATACGGGAGCCAATTCTGTCTCACTCTCACTGATGTAAAGATAGATCTAAAATTGAACTAAAAATGTTGAATTGGCTGAGCTTTTTTCATGTTCAGACAAATCTCATTATAAAACTATAAAGAAGAATTATCCTGCAGTCCTTCCGAGATACATAGTTTAATTAATACTGGATATATTTAGTTTCCAGAGTGCCTCTCCCACACACAAAAGCCAAGGTAAAACAGGAATATTCAGTTGCTGCATAATGGGAGGATATTTATAAAAACAAAGCTGCATTAAGCAAAGCATTGTTCACTTAGATGGATGAGTTGAAAGATGTAATTAATTCTAACTTTAATGTGAACTTGTACACATTACATGCATGATTAAGAACCCATATAAATAGCTAAATTAGATTTTTAACTTGACTATGCAAAGTTTGCAACCCAATTGTTTTGGTAGACATCACAGGCCTGGTTTTACTAGTCTGTTACCTGTACAACTCCTTGGCTTACAACAGCTCTGCATAGTGTACAAAGGAGGTGTTATCTGCATTCCTTCATATGACTAAGTTACTCTGCCATGAATCTGCTGTATACAAATTAAGATGAAGGACAAGATTCTTGAGTCCACCTACAAGAAGGAGTAACTCATTTGAACAGAGAAATAATTCAGACAGCTTGAAGGGCATTTTGAACTAGCACAGACATGTTCATTTGGTGACAAATACTCCTTTAAGGTCTACACACTCCTACATGGTCTCCTACATAGGAGAACTCTAGCTAATTAATTTGTCAGACTATATCTCTTCTTCAGCTTTCAGAGGGATGGGAAATGCATGGATGTGACACGAGAAAAATCTGTTACAACAGGAAATAGGTCAAAATCCCCAGAGGAAATCTGGCCAATAGATGATTATTACATTTGGTGGGTGTTACAGTCAAAGCATGGTGCAATGCTCATTGCACAGCAATGAGTTGCACAGTACAACTAGTCCTTTTTATTTCACGTTTGAATTTCCACATAGCAAGAAGAGCTAATGAATGGGCTCTGCTTCCTTCACACTAAAAGCTTCTGCCTCCGCCAACACTTCTTCCAGTAATGAAGGTGGTCTTTATAATAAGTTTCCCAGCTTTCTGCTGCCAGTGCTGGCCAGCTCCCATGAGACCCATCTTTGCAGCACCCCATGGTGACAGGTGAGATGTGATAACAGCTTACCTGACACGTTCTCTAGGCTTCAAAAGTAATATCCAACTTAAAATATACAGAAGTTTAACCCCAGCCAGCACCTAAGCACTGCACAGCCACATGCTCACTCCCCCTCAGTGGGATGGGGGAGAGAATCAGAAGGGTAAAAGTGAGAACACTTGTGGGTTGAGATAGAAGTTTAATGGGGAAAGCAAAAGCCATATTCACAAGTAAAGCAAAACAAGAAATTCATTCCCCACTTCCCATGGGCAGGTATCCAGGCATCCGCAGGAAAGCTGGGCTCCATCACACCTAACTTGGGAATACAAACACCATCACTCCAAACATTCCCCCTTCCTCCTGCACAACAGCAGCCTACACTTCAGGTAATTGAGAGCCTTATGCTCTGCAAAAGCAAAATTAGTCTGAGACAATATATTGATATTTACAGCTTGGGAAAATGTCTTCACCCGGTTTTCAGAGAAGGGCACAACTAAGCTTCAGTGCTGAGGCACCATTCCGAGGAACGTGTGGAACGGGGCTTCCACACAATGATCAAGCCGGCCCCACTAAAACAAGCAGTGGCTCAGGAGATCATAATCCACTTGCATTTGTGAGTTGACATTTAAGAATCTTCTCTCCCTTTAAAACTATCAATCAAAAGTATTTACAGAATCATGACTCATGATTCTATGAATCAAAAGTATTTGCAGATTTAGGAAATTGTCACTAAACAGACCTGGCCAGGAACTGGATTTTCTGTTTCACAGAATTTTTTTTTCCCAATTTCAATTTTTTCCCATTTAAACCAAATATATTTTGTTGTTCTGTTGCTGCATTACACTTCCTAGAATTTTGATTTCTTTTATTCTTCTAAATAACACATTTCACATTTAAAAATTTTGTAAAAATGGTCAAAATATTCTTTGCTGGACTTTTTAATGCTTTATCAGTTCTCCCTTGAACAAACTTACATCAGCTTAGCATATTTTTCAAAGCATTTCAATTTTGACAGAAATAATGCTGCATTAAGAAAAAGAATCTCTAAAAAGATACACTAAATATCCCATCTGCTGTACTTATCATACACCTTTCTATTTCTTTCTCTAAATTTACAGTTCCTAGATAGACTCATAAGCACCCAGAACAGAGGCATGAAAATGATAGCAGTCATTCTGGAAAGCTTTGGTTCAAGATGTTTTTTATGGCTTCATTAGTTATTTCTTTAAAGAAATTCTTGGTACTGTTGCTCTAGTAGCTATTTATATCTGGATGAAAAGTGCCAGGGAAAAAAGAAAGCCCAGCTGTGCTCGAGAAAATTTTAAAATCCATAGCAGTTTTGAGAGTCACTGCAGAGCAGTGACCCACTGAAAGGAATCATTAATAAGCTTCTTCCCCTCCTTTTAAGTATTTTCTTTATGAGAAGAGGTTTTTAAAGCCCCCATTACAAGATAGAAATACTGAAGGTCTTTTGCATGTGCTAAGCCAAATGAGAGCTACTCTTGGATACAGGCACATCTCTGCTTAGCTCTGTAGACTTCAAATCCTTTTCATGTCAGTCTGTACTTTAGCACATTAGGTTCCATCTCTGTGGGGAGGGTGGCACTGAAGCTCCTGATGCAGCATTTCTTAACCAATAATCTAAATTAATGAGATGACTTGAATCAAGGAGCTCTAAAACCATTAAGAATTTACACATATTCACTCTTCCTTTAAAGGACTAATTGTTTGACTCATGACTTGTATTTTAGCTTGAAGAGTGGCAGATCACTTTTTGACTTTTGAATTTTGATCCAGGGATTAGACATTCAGAATACACTGGAAATCTCTCAATTTACCCAACTGAATTAAAAAAGATGCATGTACAGCATTTATGTAGTGTTTTGACAGACTTTATTTTCTGCTTAAGTGATTCAGTTTCCCCTGGATACATATGGCCCTCTCTTTGTTATACAGAACTGGAATTGCACAGAAAGAATGTGAGGTTATTGGTTATTGGCTAAGTTGCAATACATTCAATAAACCAGTAATTTGGATAAACGAAATGTTCTTTAGGTAAAATCAGCTACTTTAAATGTTAGGCTACCAGACTAAATGGGAAAAAAACAAAGTAGTATCTATTAATAAATAAAAATAAACACTGCTGACCGCAAAAGCAACAGCACAGTCACAAAAAGTGTCACTGTAGACAGAAAAGACAATATCCTTCTGACTTCTGAACCCACAAAAGTTTCAGAATCGAGGAAGTTTTATATGTCTTGATTGCTGTAGAAGAGTGGAGCAATTTTATTGGATGAGAATGATAAATCAGTGGTCACCTAGGAGATTTTCTAAATCAGTCAGTGCACCTCAAAGTCTCTTGGGGACTCCCCTGCAGTCCAGTTTTGAGTAGATCAAAACTGTGATATCTGAATATTTGAATCCTGGATATGGGTAAATATGCACCCACTACTTCAAACAGCTGAGCAGCTCCATTCCCATAGATCCAAGTGATCAGGCTCCTCATGGGCAGCCTGAGACAGCTGTGGAGACAGCATGTGGCAGGGCAGAGGGGCTGCAGTGCTGGAGCATGTTCTGAGACCACTCTTCATGTGCAAAGGCAGAGTCAGTGCTTTCTGAATGCAGACATTATCACCTACAGCTGACAACCACAATTGGAACAAAGCATTAGTCAGAACTTAATGTCATGTAATTTGCTTGCTGTAAGCATGAACAAGATCTTGCCCTAAAATGGCAGGGAGCTCATCTACAATATTTCTGAAAAACATAAAGACAGATGTTAACAGAGAAAATTTGAGAGAAGAGAAAGGATGGACTGATACTCCAAAGAAAAGGTGGCTGTGAACTGGTGGTCCACAATTCAGGTATTGGGCTTACAGAATGTTCCAATTCACCATCCTTTCTGCAGCAGCTCTGGAGGAGACAGGGCACAACAGCAGATGGAAACTGGTATCTCCCTCTCCATCTGTGCATGGCAGCCTGTCAGGAGAACCCCCAGCCAGGCTCCAGCACTGAAAAACTAGGACCACCAAGGCACATCCATCCTTCACATATTGCAGAGGGTGTCTGAGACAATCTTCTCTCTGCTCTCGTCCACAAGCCTCCCCTGAAGGGTGGCACAGAATACCTGAGATAGACTTCTGATCAGGAATTCCCTCTGAGAACCACTTCCTCTCTGTGGACTACAGAGGGAGTCCTTGGAAATTAAAACCTTAATTTTATTGACCAAAATTAGTGACCTACAGCTAGGGAAAGTGAAGTCCTTATCCTTTCCTCAAAGCATTTCCCTTGGGCAAAGTAAACAATTTTCTAAGACTTTAAAAAAAAGGTTTCTAATAAATCAATATTTGATATTCAGCCAAGTACATTTACATAATTTCCAAAAACATTGAGAAACATTGAGAAGATACTCTTCTATTAATAGGAATGAAAGCATAAGCAAGCCGAATTCCCCAAGTTAAACTACAACTTCTGGTCACTTCTGGAGTTTTGTGGTGATGTTCCATCTCTTCAGTGAACAATTATCTCTGCCTATGTTAATAAAAGGGTTTAAAACAATTATTTAAGCTATTATTTAATATTTGGGTTGTGGATGCTTCATTGTACATAGATGGAAGAAAAGGGTATGAAGTTTACTAAAAAAAACAAAACTATGATGGTAAGCCAGTTTTAAATACTATCATGGCTCTAGTGTATTACTCTCCACAGAGGACAGAAGCTATAGTGAGACAGCTGTTAAAAGCATCTTTGTTTATTGTTAGCCAATGAACTTAGCAGGGGGAGGGATTCCTGTCACAAGGCAGGATATAAGGAAGGAAAAATAACAGTGTATTTCTGTTGTTGTCTTTATTCTGTAATATTCTGTATAATCCAAGTAGCTGATGATGCTATTTTCTTGGCAGGAGAACAAGGAGCTATTGTAATTAGGACAGGCTAGGCCATTTTCACATGAAGCAGCTTTCTGAAAAGCTACGGCAACATTCAAGGCTGGGACAGAGAACTGCAGAGAAAGCCCAAACAAGGAAGAACGGAACTGGACACACTGATATCTCCAGGTTTCTCAGGGGCCAAGTCAGGCACTGACTCACTGGTCTCACACATTGTGTGCTCTGAAGTTGTGATGATGTTACAACTCAGAGCAGGACAAGATGTGAGATCAGCCACGTCTGATCCTGCCCTCTCCATAAATCCCATGAGACAAGGGCGATGGCAAGGCTGGGCCTTCACTGCCTCTACAACAACTTTTTAATTAACACACAGGGAAAAAGGCAGACACCTTGCTGAAATATGGCATATGGAGAAATCAATGGGACATATTTATTTCCCAGCAGTCAGATACTGCAGATACATTCCTTTTCATTATTGCCTCTGTCCCCTCCCTCTTCCAAAATAAAGGCATTTGTAAAAATAGAAAGGGGGAGGGCAGAGAACATCTGTCAATAGGTTTCTCTGTAACTAGGGTGTTAAAATTGAGACAGACAGTGTTCCCCTTTGTAACTTTTTTGTTTAAAGATACAGCTTAGTGTAAAATAAAATATATCAAATGCAGTACTTTTGATGCTTTTTATAAATGCATTCTCCTTGGGGTTTTTTTGATTGTGGAGTTATTTCAAGGTTTTTAATGGTGTACCTTGGTTGTGATCAAGAAATGATATCTAGTTAGCTAGATCCTGCTACAGAGTGACAAGAGAGGGACTCCTACAGCAGCCCCAAGCTTTTTAGTCCAGAACACTGAGCTCTTTATTAGCAATGTGAGAGATTAGCAATATAGTTTTCAGCACTGAAACCAGTTGTCTAGAACTGTCTGGAGTAAGCACCTGATTTTGGGATAAAATCTGATATTACAGGTTCTAGCTTGACTTCCATCTGCTCCATTCTTAACCAGATAGACTCATGGTATTGTTAAGGTTGGAAAAGACCTTCAAGATTTTTGAACCGAACCATTAACCCAGAATTGCCAAGGCCACCATTAAACCACGTCCCTCAGTGCCACATCTACACATCCTTTAAATACCTCCAGAGATGGTGACTCCAACACTTCCCTGGGCAGCCTAATCCAGTGCTTAACAACCCTTTCCGTGAAGAAATGTTTCCTCATACCTGATGCACACATTCCCAACAAGAAAGACCTATATGCAACATTTCAATGTCCTTCTTGTAGGGAAGAACCAAAATGAACGAACACAGGATTTGAGGCATGGCTTCAGCAGTGCCAGTAGAGGGGGACAGTCCTGCCCTGGTCCTGCTGCCACGACACTGCTGATACAGACCAGGTGCCATTGGCCTTCTTGGCCACCTGGGCACAGCTGGCTCATGTTCAGCCACTACTGACCAGCACCCCAAGGTCCTTTTCTGCCGGGCAGCTTTCCAGCCACTCTGCTCCCAGCCTGTAGTTCACTGTACACTCTTTAAGGCAGTGTACAGAGAGTAATTTATGGCCCAAATACTCTGAGCTTTTTCAGCAATATAAAACCATAGTCATTAAGAATTTATGGAAAAAATAGTATCAAAACCCCTTGAAACCTACGATTCTACCTGTTATGTATCCTCTTTGTGTAATTAGCATCATCATTAACAATCTAGAAATCCAAATTCCAAACTCTGAGTGCAAAAGACCCACAAACAAGTGAGATTATTTCCCAGGTTGTTAAACAACATCAGGTAGTTCCTGTGGGAGAATCTTCTCTCCCTGCACTGGGCTCTGTCCTACCCTTGGTTACAAAGCATTTATCTTTTTAATCATTCTTTTTTAAAAAGTAATTTTTCTGCTACTCCACCTATAGAAAAGCATTGCAGAGACTGTGGCAAACATTTCAAACTTCCACAAGAATTTATAAAACTGTACTTAACTTTTGTTACCTATTTAAGTAGAAATGAAAGAGAAGGAGAAATGAAATTAATAGGTATAATTAAGGCATACACAACCCCTTCTTTCCACTTTGCTGAAACTGAAAGTAATGATGTATTTTGACGTAATTTATCATAAAAACTCAGAAATCTAGCCATTCCTTCCCAAACCCGTACAATAATATTTTGGATCTTTATAAATAACTGCAATTCTGTATCTGTAAATTTTTTTTTTTTTCTGAATTCAAAGAAAGCTACAAATATATTATAGCATTCTTCTGTAAGAAGTGATCACGTCAAGGAAGAGAACTTTTCCAAGGACTGGATTCATACTTTGGAAGCCTTTACTGCAAAAGTGGATAGCTAAATCTCATCCCATACCAACAAAATTTCTCACTAAAATCTCATTTCTTTAACTAAGGTTTCCACTAAGCTGTTCTACACACACACACAATATACATACATACAGTTTTTTCCTTATTCTCACAGAGAAGAAAAGGGAAATGACATTTGAAGAATTTAAAATCATCAGGGACAGGCTCTTAACTTTCCTTGAGACAAATGTTTAAATACATATAATCTGACAAATTTACAGATTTCAGCTATTGCAGGAATAATTCTAAAGAACCTGTGATTATCTGCCTCCTCTTTGCCATCATTTTTCATGATGCCTTTAATGTAAACCAGAAACTAGAGAATTATTCAGCACAGATGGCACAGCAATAAAAACCTGGACATTTTTCATGTGAATGTCTGTCTTTGGACCTATTTTTTAAGCACATGGAATAGAAGCCACTAGCAGTACAGTATAGTAAACACTCGATAGCAGTAATTGACTATTACTTGAGAATAATATTAGGGATCATTTGACATAAAATACGTGTCTTAAAACAGGTTATCTACCTTGGCACCATACTTAACTCATTCTGCTTCTGCTGGTACAGTAAGAAATTCATCTGCTGTTTTTAGATATTTCCATTGTTAAGGCTTGAGGTGGTGATCTCAAGGATGAAATATTTGAATCTCTTCTTCCAGCTGAAAGAAAGGCAAGATTTTAATCCATGGGCATTGAACTTTTATACAAGATGGGCTTGGACTACAGAAATTAAATACTATGCTCCTAAAAGAAAAATATGACTTGCTCCATGAATGAGCATGTATTACTATTATTTTGGAATGAAGGAGAAAGAAAAAAAGAGGATTCAGAAACCATTTTAGGCCAGCAACTTAGAGCAGTTACCACACAAAGAGAACTCAGCTAGAGCAGCACTGTAGAGATAGCCAAGTTAACTGAAACTGGCTGGTCAAGTGTGAGAAGTTTATATTAAAGGCCATCCATGGCAGGAAGGAACAGAGTTTTACCCAGCTTACCTGCTGAGAGCCAATTACTCCTCTCAAACTCTTGTATTACCACTTCCATTACTTCAATGGCTAAATTAAAGCTAGTTCAAGTATTGATAGCTCCAGCTTATTTTTTCTAAATAATTTCTTAACAGCCACTTTTGAGATGGTAATGCATCTTCACAGCAACAACTCCTACACATTCTCTCTGGTTTTAAAAAGGAAATGGGGATTAGTCCAGACTTGAAAAGGTTCCTCAAATTAGGAGGTATCAGTTGCTCCAAATCAAGAGGCATTTGAAATACACTTCTAAGAAAATCAGATTATTTAGTCTTTCAAGTTGCAAATTACAATTTTGAAGGGGTTGTTATGAAGTATCTTGTATGATATTTGCATATATACAGTTTCCTTGTATCTTCAAATTATTTCTGATTGATTCCTGGTGTTATAATAATTTAGTTTATTGTGCAGCCATCAGATAATTTTTTTTTCTTAAAAAAAAACCTCTAGGAGAACTCAGAAACATTTTTGCAAATCATGCAGTATCTAAAATTTTTCCAGCTGTTCAGCCCAAATAAAGCTGAACTTCCTCTGAAATTGTCACATAGTTATGTTTCTATACTATTAGGTACAATTGTGTTTTAGGAACCTCTTGACAGTGAGAGAATTGAGGCAGTGTTATTGAACAGAAATTATGTTATAAATAACTATGGTTCTCTGTTCTAATACAGGTCATTTAACATGGCTCACAGAAGGTCAACAAAGCTTTTTGGAGCTGATTTTTCCAAGTGCCATTCCTCTGAAACAAAAATGTCTGCTATGTGAAATTTCTAAGGAGTGAGCCTGTGATGTCTGATGCAAATCTTGGTACAGATGCAGAAATGGTATAAACAAGGTAGAACTTCCTTTGTAAAACACTAAGCCCTAAAAAAGAGCTAAAGCAGGAGACATCCTGGTGAGTCAGGGTGCCTGTAAATGCTCTCAGAGCACTGCAGATCAGGCATGAACACCTGCAGCATCCAACAGGACTTACGTGCTCCCTGAAATAAAAACTGGCCAGTCCCACAGCCTCTCTAGAAAGCTAGCTTCCCCACAAGGTGCTCCCTATCAAATCAGTTGCCCCTTAAGTAATAAAATTATATGCCTCATAATCTATGTTTAAACCCTTGCTGCTCCATAATCAGGCTATTAATACCATCCACTCAAACATTCTTTGAGATTTGGGACAATCCACTATTACTCCACTCTGGCTGCTCTGAAGATTTTGGAGTCACTTGCTCTGTATTAATCGCATCATGTGAGAGAAGGGTATGAGTAACCTCTTAGTAACACTCCCCTCAGTACGTAACACACGCACAGGGCCTCAGAGACAGATTAGGGGTTTATGCCACAGTCTGATTTACAGCTAAAAGTGCTACAGTTTAGGGATTGCTGAGCTAGGGAAGGAAGCAACACCTCATTTATAGTTTCTGTTCATTTCAGCTTTAAGAAGTACCCAAGATAAAGAGTATTATATAAAACATCGTTATTACTCTGCCTTCTCCCATGTTTAAATTTCATCCCTTTTATTATTTATTTCCCTCTGCCTGTACTGTGTCTCCTCTTCTGCAGGTGACAAGAAGAACATGAAGAGGGACTAGTGATGACATGTAAATAATATCTAAAGAAGTGAGATTGAAAGTACCAGGCATAAAATTGCTCTATACTGGTGTCTTACACATCTTTGCTTCTTGTCATATTTCAAGCAGCAAATGCAAGCACTTAATAATGTTCCTCAGCTCCTGACCAGTAAATTTAATGAGAATGCTAGAGTCCCTTAATTTGATTTGCAGAGACAGTATGAACTGGAAACAACTAGAAAATAGAAAAGTGTGATGAATTTTTCCTCCCTGTGCCACTTTCATCTCTACATATGCTTACCTCTAACAGGTTGCAAAATTCAGGTCACATTTTAATAACCAAAGGAACTCTTTACGCCATCAATGATTTCTTATTAAGATGCAAATCAAGAACAATCTCTGATCTTCTAGCAGAGCCCGAAAGCAGTTTCTTAATTAGTCAGGCTCCATCTAACATCTGACAAGACTTCCTTCATCATAGGAAAGTGACTTTAAAATTACCTTAGGAATTCAGATTTGTGGTCAGCAATAAAGGGCTAGAACCATATATAAGCCATCAAAATAATATGGTAATTTTTAATAGTCACTACAAATCAGCATATTTTTTCCTTAACAACAGAAAGTGTGAATGAAGTTTAGTTGTTTAATCTCTATTTTGTAAACTCTGGCATCTAAATTCCTTTATATGCTAAACTGAAATGTCCCATGCTAGACAAGCAGAATGGTATTTCACTGACCCAAGAGCTCCTTCTAACTGCTCAGTGAGTTTTTCTTCATGCTTTCTCTCTTACCACTTCCTAGCTTTTTTACTATCTCCCTTCACCTTTTAAATATAGACCTTTGGAAATGTAAGTCTCTAAAGAATCTCTGGTGATGACATGATTACCACATCTCACCTGTTGCTGCCATCATATGGTCCATAATTAACCTTCAAAATACTTTGTTGCTATCTCAGCTTGAGTAATAGAATCCTTGAGACAAACACCATTGCTTATGTTCATTTTTAGAGAGCTTACTCTTCGTGCGATCAATAACTGATTTATAATAAATTATTAATAACTCTCTCCCTTTCAGACCTTCACTTGTACTGAGCAGAACTTTGCTAAAGGCAGCAAATGCCAAAAGGTCATGCTGAGGCAGAACCACATCTCACAGCAGCATCTTTACTATTTTCTTCACTCATTCTGACAGGCTGAACAGTCGTGCTGTGGGTACAGGCACACTGGGAAAACCCAGGGAAGGTAAAACAGGTTTTCCACTCGTTTTCTATCCACATTCCTAAGAGAAAATCTTTTAAAGAGGCTGAATATATAGGCTAGTCCTGATTTGATGAATTTCCATACCAAATTCTCTATTTCTATAGCTATGTAATATTATATTCTCTATTTCTATAACAGTAATATAACTATTTCTTAAACTTCAGCAGGACTGCTCGCTATTTTAATTTAAAACTTAAGCCCGAGGAGATTTGTTTAAAGGAACTAATCCAGCTAAATACACTACCACAAGGAATTTGCACAAGCTAGCTCTCTATATCTGAATCTCCCGGAGGCAGTATTCTTATGGCACCATAGTAAAAGTGTTATTGCTTCACAAATCTGACATCTTCAATCCTCTAAATAGTTTTTAAAAAAATAATTATATGTCAGTAGCCATCTGACTAAAGCTGATGATGGGTCTGGAGCATTTCTCTTATGAGGAGAGACTGCAGGAGCTGGACCTGTTTAGTCTGGAGAAGGCTGAGAGGGAAGTTCATCAGTACATATAAGTATGTCCAAGGTGGGCGCCAAGGCGTAGGAGTCAGGCTTTATTCAGTGGTGCCCAGCAACAGAACAAGGAGCAGTGACCATAAACTAAAATACAAGAAGATCCATGTCAGAGTCAGGAAGAACTTTGCACTCAGGGTGGCAGAGCTCTGGAGCAGCTGCCCGGAGAGGGCGCCAAGTCCCCTTCTCTGGAGACACACCAAACCCACATGGAGACGTTCCCGTGTCACCCGCTCTAGGTGACCCTGCCTTAGCAGAGGGAGCGGGTGATCTCCAGAGATCCCTTTCAACCCGAATGGTTCTGGTTTTTGAAACGCACACCCCGTTCAGCTGCCGAGCCCTCACAGCGCTCCAGAGCCGAGCTCCGCACGGCGCCCGCAGCCAGCCGGGCCCGGCTCCCCCTCCCACGGGCGGCTGCGCGCTGAGG